GCTGGCTCTTCTCTGCTGCTGTTGCTGCGGGATTGGCCTGCAGTTGCTGTTGCTGCTGCTGCTGCTGCTGCTGCTGCGCGTTCCAAGAACTTGGGACTTTGTTCGCGCTGGTCTCGGCATTGCAGCGCAGGAGCCTGCAACTGCTACTGCTACTGCTGCTGCTGCTGCTGCTGCTGCTGCTGCAGGCCCGCGCAAGCTGATGTATCCTGCTGCTTGGCCTTTGCTGCTGCGAATGTCGCTGGCCCGTCTGCTGTTTGGGCCCCAAGTAGAAGCATGCATGCACAAGGTGAAAAGAGCAGCAGCAGCAGCTGCTGCTGCTGCTTTTGCTGCAGCGCTGCTGCTCTGCTTCGCCAAAAGAGTACGCCTTGCTGCTGCTGCTGCTGTTCCTGCTGCAGCCGCCCTCGCTGCTGGGTTTCTTGCTTCTGTTAGGCCAGCGAGCACTCGCAGCCATATATACTAGCACTGCTGCTGCTGCTGCTACTACTACTGCTTTTACTGTCGTTGCTGCTGCTACTGATGTTGCTTCTATTCGTGGTGCTGCTGCTGCTGCTACTTTCAGAATGGCCGCGTGGCGCGGCGGCTGCATGCTCTTCCTGCTGCTTTGCTGCTAGTGCTGCTGTACGTGCAGCTGCTGCAGCCAGAGTCAATGTGGCTGCAGCAGCAGCTGCGGCGCCTTCTCCACAGAAAGCAGCTGCTGCAGCAGCAGCAGCAGCAGCAGCACCCTGTGGCAGTGAACAGCAGCAGCAGCAGCAGCAGCAAGCGCGACCGGAAGGGCATGAGGCTTTCATACGTAATAGAGGGCCCTACTTACCCGGCAGCAGCAGCAGCTGCTGTTGCCACGGTAGCTGGCGCCGGTGCTGTTGCTGCACCTGCTGCTGCGGCTGCACCTGTTGTTGCTGTTGCTGCTGCTGCTGCTCCTCACCAAGATCCCCATCTGCTGGCCTGCGCGAAGCTGCTGCAGCTGTTTCTGCTGCGGCACTTTGTGCCATTTGCTGCTTCCGAGCTGCAGTGCGATTGAAGCAAGTGCTGCTGCTCTTGCTGCAGCTGTTGCTGCAGCAACTGTAGCTGCTGCAGCGGCAGGGGGGGGTC